CCTCCACCCACTGCTGTTTTCTAAGCCATTCTGCAACTTTTACCTGACCATTCAGCCCTGCTATAACAATATTATGTCACATAGCTTCACAATTGTTTTGATAAGTGAGTGTACAGACACTTCCAGTTCTAGGTGTGAATACACTAATTAGTCTTTCTCATCTCTGTAATGACTCTTTCATGCAGAAGTTCTAAGAGACACCAAAGGCAAGATTTTTTCATAAGTTTCTCTAAACCTTCCCCAAAATAACATATTCATCCTATGTCACATAACAAGATTGATTTTTTTTAATATTTCCTATGACTTTTATAGGAAAAAATGCAAGACTTGATAAACAATAATTCCTCTAAACTCAAAGGAAAAAAAGCAACTCTACCACAAGAAAAACTGATTGTGTGGTGGCAGTTGCAACTGACTAGTACCATGGTAATTCAAAGGAAAAAGTGCACACTACTCTTGGCAAAAGAAAGCACTTTTCCATCCATGGAGCTTTCTTAGGACTCTTGGTTGAGTTCTTCTCACTAGCTCTTGATATTTGCCCATCATGCTACCAATGGAATTTTCAGTATGTTGGTAGACATACAGAAATTCTTTTACCTTGGTAAAGGAAATTCTACTAGTGAAAAAGAAGCAGAAAATGCATTTGCCTTTTGAAATTTTTTTTTTCCCCCTCATAAATGTTCTCTGCTAATTGCAGGACGCATGTGGAATGCAAAAACATGATAGAACAGAATGAAGGGTTTTACCAAGCAAGCCTGAACCACAAATTAGACTCTGAGATGCAAACAGTGGTAATTGCAAAGAGGACGGTAAAAACAAACAATACCCAGAACATACAGTAACAATGCCTGCCACTAGAAGGGAGAAGCGACCACAGGTTTGAATATTGAGAGATGATTAAGCAGACAGGGAAATGACGAGACTGAAGTTGTGCTCTGTGTAAAACAAAGGATTGAATGTGTACAACTGTCTTTGAAAAATGATAATAGGCAGGTTGAGAGCTTATGGGTGAGAGTTAGAGGCCGAGACAACAAAGGAAACCTCATGTCAGTGTTAACTACATGCCATCTAATCAGGAGGAGAACATCAACGAATTGCTCTTTCCTCAGCTACAGAAAACACACGATCACAGGCCCTATTCTGATCAGGGATATCAACTACCTTGACATCTGCTGGAGAAGAAGCTCAGCAAGCATCCAGCTGACTTAAAGGACAATTTTCTTAATCCAAGTGGTAGATACTGCAACCAGTGGAGGAGCTTCACTGGGCCTGTTGCTCACCAACACAGATAGTCTCATTATTGGAGGGTCAAGATAAAAATCACAGAATCATAGAATCATCTAGTTTGGAAAAGACCTAGTCCTAGTTCAACCATCTACCTACCACCACCATTTCCTGACTAAACCACACCCTTTAGTACAACATCTCAAAGCTTCTTCAACACCTTAAGGGATGGTGTCTCAATCACCTTCCTGAGCAGCTCATTCCAGTGCCCAACCACTCTCTCAGTGAAAAAATGTTTCCTAATATTCAACCTGAACCCCTCCTGGCATTCACGATCGCAAAGCATATAGGCTGGGAGCAAAGTGAAGACCTTTGGAAAAGCAAATTTTCTCCTGTTTCAGGAACTTGTGAATGCAAACCCTTGGGAAACAGCCTTCTGTGTCACTGGAGCAGGAAAGTGTTGGCAGCTCCTCAAGGATGTTTTTCTTCAAGCACAAGAGCTCTTGATCTCAAGTGTAAGAAATCAGGCACAGAAGACATGAGACCATCTTGACTGTATATTCAGTTATGGCTGAACTGAAGAGAAAGTAGGAAATGCATAAGCAGTGGAAGCAAGGACTGATTCACATCTTGGGAACAATTGAGGAATGCTGTCGGAGCATGCATAGATGGGATTAGGAACATCAATGCATAGCTGAACTGAATCTGCTGACAAATGGGAATGAAGGAATTATGGTTAGAAAAAAGAAACAAAGAAAACGTACCATCCTTGCTACACAAATCAAGAGATCTAGTGATGTCAGACATGAATAAAGCTGAGACTCAACAATTTTTTTGCATCAGTTTTCACCAGTCATCAGTTCTCTCATATCTCCCACATCTCCAAATCTGAAGACAGAGCCTGGGTGAAAGAAGTCTATTGCATCAAAGGAGAAGACTCTCTTAGAAATCACATGAGGAATCTGAACATTCACAAGTCCATGCACCACTTCTTCCAAGCCCAAGATCAGTGCATCCCTAAGAGTAAGAGATCAGGCAAATGAAGCAGAAGACCTGCATGGATGAGCAAGAAGCTCAAGAAACAAATCAAATGGAAGAGAAAGTCTGCGAGATGTGGAAAAGGGGTCTGCCCATTTGGGAGAAACACAGGAACATTGTCATGGCATGTAGGAAAGCAACGAAAAAAGCTAAGGCCTACTAGGAATTGAATCTGGTGAAGGAGGCCAAGGACAACACTTCTGTATCTCAATAGGAAAATGAAGATGATGGAAAATGTGGGCCCACTGCTGAATGAGGAAGATGGAGAGACTGGGAAAAGGAAGACTTCCCTTTGGTTGAGAAGGATCTGGTCAGAGATTGTCTAGACAAACTCAATACACACAAACCCATGGGTCCCCATGGGATACAGCCATGAGTGCTGAATCAGCAGGTAGAAGTAATTGCCAAGCCACTCTCAATCATCTTCAAAAGGATGTGGAAAACAGGAGAGGTGCCTGACTATTGGAGGAAAGCCAATGTCACTCCAATCTTCAAAAAGGGCAAGGAGGAGGAACTGGGAAACTACAGGCCAGTCCACCTCACATCTGTCACTAGGAAAGTGATGGAACAACTTATTCTGGATGTCATCTCCAAGCAATTGGAAGAGAAGGAGGTTTATCAAGAGTAACAGTGTGGATTCTCCAGGGGGAAATCACTGATCTGGTGGCCTTCTATTCACAATCAGCTGGGTAGGTGAGAAGAGAGCAGTAGATGCTGTGTACCTTGAGCAAAAATCAAGGCTTTTGACACTGACTCCCGTAACAGTCTCATAGGTAAGCTCAGGAAGTGTGGGACAGGTGAGTAGACAGTGAGGTAGACTGAGAATTGATCAACTGGCAAAGCTTAGAGGATTGTGATCAGTGGCACAAAGTCCTGTTGGTGGTCTGAAGCTAGCAGTGTTCTCCAGGGGTCAGTGCTGGGTCCGGTCTTTTTCAAGATCTTCATCAGTGACATGGGTGAAGGGAGAGAATGCACCTTAAACAAGTCTGCTGATGATACAAAGTCAGGACAGGTGGTTGACACATCAGATGGCTGTGCTGCCATTCATGAGACCTGGCTGGACAGGCTGGAAAGCTGGGCAGAGAGGAGCTGTGTGAGGTTCAACAGGAGCAAGTACAGTGTCCTATACCTGGGGAGGAACAACTGCACACATCAGTACAGTTTAGGGGATGACCTACTGGAAGGAGCTCTGCAGAGAAGGGCCTGGGTATCTTGGTAAACAACAGGTTGACTATGAGCCAAGAGTGTGCTCTTGTGACCAAGAAGGCCATGGTATCCTGGGATGCATAAAGAATACTGTAGCCAGCAGGTCGAGGGAGGTGATCCTTTCACCTTATTCATTCCTAGTGAGGCCACATCTGGAGTACTAAGTCCAGTTCTAGGCTCACCAGTTCAAGAAAGACAGGGATCTCCTAGAGTCCAGAGATGGGCCACAAAGATGATGAGGGGCCTGGAGCATCTCCCTTATGAGGAGAGCGTGAGAGACCTCAGGATGTTCAGCCTGGAGAAGACAGAGGGGGGATCCTATAATGGAATCAAGTGGATGGGGCCAGGCTCTTATAAACAGTGCTCTGTGACAGAACAAGTGGCAGTGAGGACAAAGAAGTATATAAGAAATTGCCTACAAACATGATGAAAAACTTCTTTACTAGAAGGGTGACAGCATTGGAATAGGGTGCCCAGAGAAGTTGCAGAGCCTCCTTCTCTAGAGATATTCAAAATTTATCTAGACACTTTCCTGTGTAATGTGCTGCAGGGAGCCTCCTTTAGCATGTTCCAAGGACTTGGTGATCTACAGGGGTCCCTTTCAACCCCTACAATTCTGTGATTCTGTGACCTGATGAAGTACTACCCAAGGCACTGAGGAACTGGCTGACTTAACTGGGAAGTGAAGTTCCCCGTGACTGGGGACTGCCCAGAGAGGGGGTAGATGTCCCTTCCTTGGAGACATTCAAGGTCAGGCTGCATCAGGCTCTGAGCAACCTGATCTAGCTGTCAATGTCCCTGTTCATTGCAGGAGAGCTGGAACAAATGTTCTTTAAAGGTGCCTTCCAACACAAACAATTCTATGATTCTCTTCACTTGAATGTAATCTGAATATCCCAGGGTATCTTTTTAACACCTATACACATTAAAATATAAGCAACGAAACTATAACTTGCTTACTTTTTTTTTTTAATCAAACGTCTCTCACTTTACTGAGTTTTGGAGGCAGAAGATTTGGAGGCCACAAAATTTACAACGCATTTAGAAATAAACATCAATCATTTATAACTACTTGGGAAAGGAATACAATCATATCTATCAGTGCAGCTTCTTCTCTTCCTGAAGTTTTAAAATGTCAGCGTACAGGAAAGAAAGCCAGAGGTCAAACCAAGGTAGCTCTAACAATAGGAGGCAAAGGTATTCAGAAGTGCTATCACTACTAGCTTCTAATATTTCACAATTAAAACCTCATGCAGTGCAGTAAGAAAAATGCAGATTTCAGCTTACTTCTGTTTCTTTCTTTCCCTCCCCCTAACACATTTATATTAAAGTTTTTCTCCATTACAAACACCTGAGTAAATCTTTTACCACTTTGAGGGCTATAAGCTGCATTCAGTGATAATTTATACATCAAATATTTTGTCACACAAACACTAACTGTAACCCTCATTAGCTGGAGCTACCTTACTCTGTTGCAAAGTATAATGGTTAATCACAATCTCATGGAATAGTGTAGCTATAAGAGTTCCTACCTTCTCTTCCCAATGTGCTCTGTTGGCATTTTCCATCTGGAAGCTATGCAAGGACTGTATTTTATCAATTTGCTCTCGCTGCTTCTGCAGCTCTCCCTGGAATTCATTCTTCTTGAGTTCCACGGCACCTCTCTCTGCTGCTGCCCTGCGGACCTTGCCTTCCAACTCCATGATCCGACTCTGGGGAAGCAATAGCAAAAGGCAAAGAGAAACAAAATAGTAACAAAACAAAAGAGCTACAAAATAGTAATTATTCCATGGGACTTGAATGCCTTCTTAGGAACAATTTCTAAGAAATACAAATTCAAATTTTTAGAAACTGTATCTGAACAAGCTAGCTTTCCCTGCCCCTAGTGGGAAAGTGCGTGTTACTCATCCAGCATATACTGAAATGGGTCAATCTTTCTTTATACTGAGCAACAGAAGTCACTGAAATGGCAATATAGAAAAATAATTTAGGAAGATGAGCAAATTACAAAGACTCGTTCAGATTTAAAATGGACTTCAAGTTCAATATACTCTGAGAAAAAAACTGAAGTAGGAGAAAGCAGCTGAATGTCTACATAGGTTTGAGGTACCATACTCAGGTCTTTGGGTCCCCTTGAACTCCCTACTTCCCTGTAGTATTTGTGAAAATCCCTAAAGCAAGCAAAAGCAAGCTCACCACATCTAGCACAAGCATCCTATTTACTGTGAATTACCTCTGCCAACTGCAGATGTGCATGGCCACATGTAGAGCAATAGTAACGTTACCTGTAGATCCAAACTGCGAGAGCTTGCAATCCAGTAATTGAAACCCAAAACAATGATGCATGCCAGGAGTGAGGCCACAAGAAGAGGTGGAGACTTCATTTCTCAGCAGCTGTTCCCAAGCTCTATCATGTCAAAAACAGCAAAAAAGCAAAACCAAAGGAATGGAAACTGCAAATTAAATTATGTGCGTTATATTGCATCCCCCACTTAGATTACTGTATGAACACAATCAGACCTTCACTGCAGTAACGCAACAGCTCTCAGCTGGACTCCACTAGGCAAGGAGGGCAGGTATTTCCACCTGGAAAAAGAAAAAAGCTATATCATAATGTTAGCTGTTACAGAAAGCCCCACATCAACTTTGCAAGAAAATCTAGAATATTCCTAACAATACAATGAAAACCAAAAACAAATAGAATAGACCAACCATCCTGCTATCATACATTCCATACAGCCAGCTAATTAACGGCACTGGTCTAGAGGTAAGAGGACAGATTCCCTGTCATACCACTTAGTAATGAACATTAGTAATTTACACCTTGCTTTCAACTGGGGATGTGAACCTAATGCATTGGTTCAAGGCTAGTTAGTTAATAGGTAAGTAAGCACATGAATACCTTAAGGGTAACCTAAATAAATAAATACGCAAACACTGCTAATTTCAATGGGAAATTATATGAAGTGCTATTTCTTTTGATCTTCAGCTTTCCACTGCTCTTGACCAAATATAAATAACGTGCCTTAATCTGTGAGGTTTAGCAAGTGCGCAACATCAAAGGTGTCAGCTGCCACTGAGCCTTGTTTCACTCTGTGAAGCAACCCATTTTAACACAATGTGAGGGCAAAGAGCAACTGCAATTCTGTTTACAATAGGCCATAAACATCCTATGAGTTTTATGAGTTGATAAAATCCGGTCTTAATGAGTGCAACAGCACTTAGCTCAAGGAATCATCCAACTCCACCAGAAACTTTGGGCACAGTTGGCAATACAGACTGCTCTCTTGCAAACTGAGATCCACTGGTTTTGTTTTTTTTCCTTTTGGCACTACTGCAGACAAAAACCAGCAAAAATAGTAATGAAATCAAATAGCAAACACCAGTGAAGTGCAAGACACTAACTCAAGGTGAAATGGGTTCATTTACTACTAACACGTCATGCATTCTCTCAAGGTGCACACTCTTAAATACAACAACTTAGTTTTCCCTGTGGATGCAATTCACAGGTTGTAATGTATTTATAAGTGAACAAATGGGAGCAACCCTCAGAGGGTTTTGCATGGGGACATGCTGTGATCACAGGGAAGATGATGATTCCAGCTGCTAGGAAGAAACAGAGATGGTGGTATTATTCTATGCCCAAGGCTTAAGTCCTTCAACAGCACACATTGATTTCATGCACATGTGCACCCAGAATAAAGCCCACTTTGGAACACTCCTTCCAGACTTAGTGTCAAACACAACCCCTTGTCACTCTCCCTCAGTAGCATGGCCTCACCACCTCCATCGCACACATACAGACACATAGATGTTTCCAGCACAAAGGTACAGATTATGGAAATGCATGTGCTGCTGTGCAGATTGCCCTCCTGCTGTGCTAAACAAACAGGAATACCTGAGATTTAAGAGCAGATTCCCTGCAAATATAAAACCGTAGAACTCCAGAGACAAAATCAAAATGAAATATCATATTTAGTGGCTGGTAGGGGGTTGGAGCTAGATAATCTTTAAGGTCCCTTCTAACCCAAGCCATTCTGTTGAGTCTGTGATTCTATGAAACAGAGACAACCATGCCAGCAAAGGACAAGATGATTTATTTACTCGTGCTTACCAAAATAAAAATTCCATTTCAAAAACTGTTTAACAAAATCTGTCTGAAGTCATTTGTATCCTGTTCTTCACTGGTACTAGCTGGTGTACTTGGAAAACATGGAAAAGTTACTAAATGTACATTGCAAGATTACAGCGCATCATTTCAAGTGCTGCTTTCCATGCTGTTTTCCTCCTGGAAGTAAGAAGTACACAGAATCATAACAGTGGGAAAAGACCTCTGGCATTATCTAGTTCAATCGTCAACCTATCACCACCATGCCACTGAGTATGTACCTCAGTGCTCATTCACATGGTTCTCAAATATATCCAGAGACAGTGACTCCAGCCTGTTCCAATGGCTCACCACTCTTTCTGAGAATAATTTTTTTCGTAAATATCCAACCTGAACCTCTGCTGAAAAGCATCTACCCAACATCCAACCAACAGAAAGCTTCCACTTCATCAGCTTCAGAGACTTGCTGGAAAGTTAACTACTGGGTTTGCTGGTTAGCTCAGAAAGTCATGGATGTAAAGCAGCTGCACAAACACACGTGACTATCTTGCCTGGAGCACAGCACCACAGGACTGTGGATACCCCAGTGTCATGCTGCCTAAGCTGTCCCTGTTAGAAATAAGTGGGTGAGCAAGCACTGATTTCACTAAAGTACTCTGCACTTGACTTCCACAAATTTTCCCCTCTAAAATATCCAGTGTGGCTTGCTCTTAGCTGATTTATGTTAATTGGGAATATGTCTTACAGTCAACAGAAAGAGAGGAAGGAGAAGGAATGAAGGGACAGGTCACACAGGAGCACCTTCCATCCACCCAATCTGATCCAGTGCACAACCTGTCAATGCTTTATGGGCTGGTATGGCCCGGTTCCAAGACCAGTGGGGCGGAGGGATCTGCGGATCCACGCCTCTGGAAAAGGGAAATAGGGGACCCCAAAATAATAGAAAACAACGGCAATAATCTGAGGTGGAATAAATGATTTACTAAATGTAGTATCAGCAAAGTACAATGAGAGAGAGAGAGTGTGTCTGAAGGGTAGATAGACCTCACCACAATGCTGAGGTGAGAAGTGCAGTCCAGTTGAGTGAATGAAGAAAAAGAGACGGCAAAGCACAGACAGCAATGCGCAGATGGCGAAGCAGGCGAAGAAGAAGAATCAGGTGACCTTGCACAGAGTTGTATCTCCTCGCTGACTGCACAGCCTCCTGGGGAAATGTAGTTCTTCTCCATCGGACGAAAATTCGGAACTCAAGAATCAGAAGTCAAACCCCCAATGCATTACATGATGTTATGGTGTGGAATACTGATAACCAAAAATCATAAAACCATGACACAACCCCAGCTGCAATAGTGGCATTTCCTCCCACTGCAGCTTAAAAAGAGAAACTGTATGGCTTTCTCCTGGGGAGACACGCATCCTGAAGGAAAGATGCAAATCAGCTTAGGGAATACATTGATATGGAAATGTATTTGTGCATGCTGTCCTCCAGGAAATATCTAGCTTGGCACAGCTATTAAGTCAAAAAGAAAATATGTTTCTGATTTTATGTGTAAGAATGTGATTTCACTGAAAATGTAGGAACCCATCTCTCATGCATGTTTACTACAGCTGTGGAATGAGATGCTCTGCCACATGCATCATGTTCTACATTCGGTAGGACACAGAACTCCTGACCCCTGAACATTGCAGCCCTCTGATGCCCACCCAGCAGTGCTCCATGAGGGAGGTGGTGGATGCTTGAGCCAGCTAACGCTTCCCGTTTCTTGTGCTGCTGTACTGCCAGCTAGAGCAGATCCCCCCCCTGAGCAGCTAGGACCCAGAAGCCTCACTAAGGACTGCCAACAGAGACACAGCCTTCGGGATAGCCATAACAAGTCAGAGTAGGTAAGGCCCCATGCCACCATCTCACCTGGAGAGCCATCTCCTGCCCACAGGGCCTCAGATATGAAGCCTTGAGAGGCCCTGAGTCACTGTTTGTCCAAATTATCACATTACACACTCCCCAGGAAGGGGCGCAGCTCTTGGCCAACAGGTTCTGCAACTGCATGCTCATCATTCTCAATAAACAACACTGCTCGAAGCCCAGTCTGGACCTCAGTACTTCCTTTCCCAATGTGTATGTAGACACAAATAATAGATCAGAACATGAACGGTTGGAGAAGGCTCCTCCTAAGGGAGTGGCTGATGGCTACCACCACCTCACTGGCTATTTTTCAGATCAAGGCCCACTGTGCACTGCCTCTTAATTAATCCAAAGGAGAGTTCCCGAGCAGAGCTATGGTTTTTGACACCCGCACATGACTCTCAGGCAGCTGTGGAATCCAGAATACTTCCACATAAGAACAACACCAAGCAAAAAAAGTTACACATGAGAACAGTTCACTGTTAGCCAGATTGCTAATTTCTTTTTAAGGATATGGTTTGTCTTAGGCACGTTTCCATACAAAATGAAATATTTTGAAAGTATCAAAACTTAAAGGACCCCTGCTTGCCCTTAAAGATTAATAAAAGGAAAAGGAATAGAGTAAGCTTATGTGTACAGCACAGGAACCACAATATCACGTCACCCCTTCCACTCCTGTAAAACCACAAGTACAGTTTCACTGTAAAACACACAACCCCACACTGGAAAAAAAAAAAAA